AGGCAGTCCCAGAAAATATCAATCAGCACGATGGTCAGATCCGTCACCATCTACGGGTCTCGCCGGACGGCACACGAAACAAAAACGAAACGAGTGCATCTGCCCACCAAAGGGGGCCAAATACACTCGTTATTATTTATAGCAGACCGATGAACCTGGCCATTTTCTGCAGGAAGATGCACTCCTTTCGTTTTTCGTTTCGTGTCCCGTGCCACAACGCCCTACAGCTCGCAGGCGTGTCACACAGAAGAAAGGTCCTCATCTCATTCTTGTTCGGCAGTGGGACTTGGCCCCGGGTCACCTTGGTCCCGGCGCCAAGTCCCACTTACGCTGATCCTTGATATCTGGTCGTTGATCTTCCGAATCTGTGGTCAAAATTCGATCATTCGGGTAAGTGGGACTTGGCCCCGAGGACCTGGTACGCTGATCCTTGATATCTGGTCGTTGATCTTCCGAATCTGTGGTCAAAATTCGATCATTTGGGTAAGTGGGACTTGGCCCCCGGGACCTGGTTGGGGCGGCCATGCGGTCCCAGCAAAAAAAAAAAAAGAAAAAAAGAAAAAAAGGACCTTTGTCGGTCGTTTAGCTAAGATCGAGTGTAGTTTCGGTTCTGATCAGTGGGGTCCATGGGACCACATGAAATTAAATTAAATTGTTTGGGGGTACAGAGGGGTCTTATGGGTAAGCTTGCGGACTCGACCTTTCTCGTGCTGCCTCTGCATTACACTGCAGCAGAGAGCGGTGCGCCCCACCTCCCCTCGGCGGGGGGTGGAAGAAATCCGGAAAAAAACTATGTTATGCAGACAAAGAAGCTCAGTTGGGCCGCCGGTGGGGTCCGGCTTACGCAAAGACCGAACATTTTGCCAATACTAGTAGCTGGGCCTCCCTTTTCATCGTCCCCCAACCCCAACCGAATAACAACAGTGTCTAAGGCCAACCAACACTCTCCCACACACCACACACCACACACAACCCACTCACACTTACACTCACACTCACACTCACACTCATACTCATACCCGTGTTGGCCAAGGACCCTGCTATTACCAATCAGAGGTATCAAGCGTTGGGGCGAGGGGCAACATGCGCCCCCTCTGATAGGGGGCTGGAGGGAGACAACAAAGCTATGTTTGCAGGGGTCCCCTGTCTAAGCCTTAGGAGTAGTGAGTGGTAGGTAGGTAGTGACGGTGAAGTGTCTGCGCCCTTTAGCTTCAGCTTGGGCCGAAGTGTCTGCGCCCAGGCCCATTCAGACTGTGGCCTGGGACCGAATTTCGTTAGACGCGCCCGACCGCCCAAGTGCGAATGTGGGGTGCTCTCTGCTTCCACTACGTTGCCAAAAGAGCACCCCACATTCACACTTGGGCGGTCGGGCGCATCTAACGAATGTTTCTGATTTTCACGAGCGGGGCGGATGTAACCAACTGGCGCGTGGCATCTGTCTGGCGCCCACCAAGACTTCGCAAAATTGAGAAATTCAGGCCTCATTGAGATTCGATGGCCCGCCTTCACTTAGCGTGGGCACATGCTTGTTGTAGGGGCCGCCACATGCAGGTATGCGGAGGGCTTAAAATCCTCGCACTTTGAAAAAAAAGAAACGGTTTTCACTTTTTAGCAGTAGCGGATGCAGTTCCCAGGGTTCGATCCCTAGACCTCACCGTACCCATGTACAGTATCTCTGTAGACCCCGGGAATTGAACCTGTGACCTGTGTATTCGTAGGCAGTTGGTAGGCCTGTCGTAGGTCCATAGGCAGCAGGGGTTCGATCTGTAGGTCTATAGCGTAGGAGTCTTAGTGAGTTCCGGAAGCTTAGCTGTAGACCTTCTAGAAGGTAGGCAAGTGGGCAAGTGGTCAAGTGGTGAGGCAAGTGGTGGACTAAACCGCAGTGCAACAGCAGTACAACGTC